ACAGTAACAGGACAAGAGCATCAACCGCATCTGCAGCATCGAGCAAGCCCCGTTGTTTTGAGGGCCCCGCTGCTCTCTTCCCCAGATGGCGACAGGAGATTAGAACCGCTATTTTGGAGTTTTTATTGTATCCATTTCCCTTTGTTTGCCTTCATTTACCTCGGAGAAGACTCCAAAATGTCGTCTAAGGACCCACGCTCCGTCATCGACCCCTCAAAGTTTCTCAACAGAAAGGTCCGAGTCAAGTTCTCTGGAGGGCGCGAGGGTAAGGCCACTCAGGAGCCTCTACAGCAAACTCAAATGCTATCCGAAAGATAATTTACATAGTTGGAGGTGCTAGGGCATATCATGCCCAGGTTGACATTCCGGCGCATGTCCTACGTCCATAGCTGGCCGCTTGGGGGCCCTGCCTAGGGCCGCCCGACACTTCACCATTACACCAGCCCATGCGCACATGGCTCTATCCTGAAACAGGATCCTTAAGTGAGTCCCCGGGGGTGCTGGTCCATCTTCGTGAGCTATGTAGTTGGTACCCGTTGAGGCGTTTTCTGCGTGTTTGCAGTGGAGGGAACCCTCAAGGGCCATGATGCCGTTTGCAACTTGGTACTGGATGACACGGAAGAGTTCTTGAGAGGTAATTCACCCCCATACACTGCAGTGTTGGGATCCGTCGTTAGACAAGGCCCAATAGGTCAGTGGGGGTCTTCCTATCCACAGGCTCAAAGGGGTGTAAAGCAGGTCTACAGGAACGCGCTGTTCGATGTGATCTACTTTTGGGCAGGCGCAGTTGTCCCCAATCATCCCAACTTGTTATTCAGGTGCACTATGTTGTACAGGGAAGGTTTGGATGGGGCTAAGCGCCTGATGGTGGCTGGCTACCAACTGGCTGCTTAAGAAGGACCGTTAAATTCCATTTTTTGAGCTGCTGCCTGTCTGTCATTTTGCGCCTGTGCACTGTCCACCGCAGACCCCGAGGATTCAACTCGATTGTTGGAGACCACGCGCGCGCTGGGGCTTATTGTAGCGCGGGGTAGCGCCATCGTGCTGATCTCCCCAGTGGAAGGCGTACAGCGCATCGAGAACCCTTTCGTTGGGGTTGACGCCCAGTGACCCGCCCAGTGACCCTAAAGCTTTCTGCTGAATCCCTTTGGCACCACGAGAATTGCTTCCGTTGCATAATATAGAAGGTGGTGGAGTTCCTTCTGGGGAGCTTAAGCGGGAATGGAGGCCAATCCTCAGGCAGAGTTGCCTGGTACATATTATGGCAACGGGATGCACAGTTGGCGCATGATATACTCCTGTTTCATTGAGGGAACGGTTCCAGCGGAACGTTTTAGATTAAGTTGCCTTTTGATGATTTGTCTGCCCCTCGAAGCATGTCGTAAGGCTCAGAAGGGGGTAAACACACTGTTGCATAGTGTTACTTTGGGTAGAATTATTGCGGTGCCCCTTGTGGCTTCATTCATGTTAGGGAAAGTCAGCTGTAGAATCCAAACGGTTGAAGCAGCGTTAAGTCACCTCTGCCGTGTGCTCCCCAAGGGATATGCTGTTTTCATTCCGAAGCGCTCTACTTGTAGAAGAGGGAGCCCAGATGTTGAAGTAGTTCCACGCAGCCGATCATGGAATGCTACGCGGTCAAGTTAAAAACGAGGCAGAACTTGCTTCTGCGGACTGGAATGCCCTCTTGTGGGCTGACCACGAGGTGTGTGCGGGTAAATGGGCAATCAACCAGTCTGTTGCCACCCGCTTGTCCTCCCGTAAGTCGTGGAAGCATACCTCCGGCTACATTTTCTTAAACACAGGCTTATTAAAGCCCATCACCGAAGGTTTGGGCTTGAAAAGGGCTGGGGGCTTCTTCAGGGCTTCTGCAGTGCCCCCGGCGGTCTTGGAAACGCCAGCCCCCGCAGCAGGCGGTGCTGTGGCGGTCTTTGTTGGTGAGGTAGGGGCGGCAGAGGCTACTTTGCTCTCTCTCGTCAGAGGAACCTTTACTCCGAAGTTGGCGTTGGGGTCGTCGGGGACGTTCGACGGCAGCACACTCGCACTCTTTATGTAAAGGGGCGCTGCCGCAGTTGCTTGGAAAGGCGCATCTGCAGGCACATGTCCACAGGCATGCCCAGATTGTTGTTAGATGACATTGGCAGAGGCTAATCTGAAACTACCCACAGCTTGACCGACCACTCTAACGCCTTCGCAGATCTAGTACAGGCTGGCGAGCACTGTAGAAGGGATTAGGTATGCAATCGGCATTCGATGAAGTTTGGGGGACAAATGCCCAGAAGGGGCATACGATGAGCTTTCTAGCATTACAAGATACCTATTCCGCCCCTAGACGTGCTGGATGGGGACAAGGGGAAGCCATCTTACCTGACGGGACCATTCCCGCGAGGTCAAGGCCTTCCTCTGTGGGTAACTTCAACACCGTTTGTGGTCCGGAAAATTGGTGCTTCAACTCATATCTGGTGTCTATATCTGTAGTGTATATGTTGTTTGTCCAGCGCTTTATCTTGATGCTGCCGCCCCAGAACCACACGCAGCCAGACGGTTTGCTTATTTCTTCTCCTCCTGCATGGGCTGCTTTTCCCGTAGTCGTACTACCCCCCGCATGCGACAGAACTGGAGCTTGGTAGCGGCAAGCGAAAAATTTACCGGATGATGCAGGATCAACGGAGCGTACACTATGAGGCGGACAGTCCTGTGCTGTGAAAAGGCGAAAGCATACAGCTACCTACAGGGTCACGCTACAAGTCTCCCAGACTTTGTAAAGGCCTCGCTTACTTTAGCACATGATCCGTTACTCGACCTTAGTACGCAGCATGCCTCTTCAACAATCGTGTATAGTGCTAGTGCATGCAGGGGAACCCTTGGCTGTGTTTGCATGAGGGTTGCCTTGCACCTTGAGAACAGCAAGTCTCCCGTAGCAGGGGGCCCTTGAGTCCCTATCTCCAGGGCGCCTGGAAATTGGGGGAAGACGCCAACCGAGTCAACTTGGATCTGCAAGTGTCAACTCAACGTTTCCATCCATTTGCATCAGACTACTTACCCTTGCCCACTACAGAAATGCAAAAGAGCCTATCCATATGCACGGCTTTCTGAATGCCGGGGTTGCCGGTTGCTGTGGACTTTCCCACTGTGAATGTCAACACTACCCCGAAGGGGTAGTGTTGACATTCACAGTTTTAACGTCCCAGTATTCACTATACTGCTCACTTGCAAATCCTCTTTCTTCCTACTCAGACAGGGCTGTGATAGTGGTTTTGTACCTTGCTTTGACGCGTAATTATTCCATCGGCAAGGCCAACCATTTCTCTTAGTTCCATTTCCGTGTCCCAGCCCATTACGTATTCCATTCGCCTGGAGACAGTCTTGCTATGAACTACACTTTCACGATTTGCAAGTCCGTCTCTGGGGTTCTGCTCAGCGAGTACTGGGGCTAGTTGGTGTTGTATTTCATCGATAGCTTCCCATGCTTAAGCTTCAGCAACTCCAGTAGAACCTGCTCCCTTGGCGATTGGGGTATATTCATACAACGCAGCACATTTCAGCACGCTTCCCTAGTCTGAAAGTGTTCCGGAAAAACAGTGCCCTTGCTTAGCTGCAATTCCGGCTCCTCCACTTCCGACGACGAAGATTCCAGTAGCAACTGCAGCTCTTCTGCAGCTTAGTAGAGAGGAAAACACATCTGGAAGGGCAGGTAACTCTGCTCCCCCATCTCGGCGGCCTCCACGTCTCGTTCCCCACAAAGTGCGAAAGCATTCCGTACGAATTAGGCTTCTGTAAAAAGATACTCCGCTGGATGAAATGCGCCGGTTGAGTTTGCTTCACTCGGCGAGACTCCCAACCGTTGGTCTTTTCCCTAACTAGAGGGGTAAATGCTAATCAATCTCCCGGGTGCAAGATAAGTGGAAGCTGCGATTGGGCGAAGAATTTAAGAGCAATATAATGAAGCACTGTGCTCATTCGTTTATTTGCTTTTTGCGCAGTTACTGACGGCTGTCCAGCATGCCGCCCTGCTATGGGGTGGTGTTCGTTTGTAGCAAAAGCCCTCGGTAACTATGCGTTGCTTCCAAGTGTAACATTGCAACGACAGTCTTCTCTATAGTGCTATAGGGGATATAGCTATGCAAAGCTGCAATGAAAGGAAAACACTTACCGTCATGGTTCATTCAGAGCAACTAACCTTTTCTTGCAGTCTCCAGGCGTCCCATGCATTGCCACCCAAGTGCCTGCCTGCCATGTTGCAACGCACCTTACTGTAACTCAAGGTGCAAGACAGCCCCATGTGGAAGTGCAAACAAATCTTTCCTGCCGTATGCAACAGTGTTTCGAGCCGTTGCATTTCTAATCGCGTACAGGTTGCCCACTAAGTAGGGGATAATAGGCGAACTTCATACAAACTTGCCAGAGACTATGCTACAGCAAAGAAGCCTTTGCTGCGTCTGCATCTGGGCATGCCTTGCACCAACAGTTGCAGTAGTATGGGTTGCCACTTTTGTCAGGCCGCATCACCTCGTGCAGTCTTTTTGCGGTTGGGTCGCAGGACCAGAAGGCCAAGGAGGCTAGGAAGGGCGGTCAGCTTGTTTTGCTGTAATGGAACGGCCGTTTTGTCGAATTTAGCCCCAACAAATTGAGGCCTGAAGAAGAAAAATACTACCCAGTATCGAGCGCGATCTCCACATAGAGAGGGCAGAGGCGCCTTGTAAGTGAGCGAGCGATACGAAGCTTGGTGAGGTGTAAAGAAGTTCAAACCACTCATGTGACAGCGCAATCTTGTGCGGACATATTGAAAGGTGAACTGCCGACCTGACTGCGCAATATTGTGCGACAATATTGAAGAGCTGCCCGTCGTTCCCCAGGAATGCTACCGTAATTCCTCATCTTCGGTGGCCTCTGCTGGTGGTTGAATGTGCGTGTCCACACGGGTTCGCCGCAGCTGCAAGAATGTTGTGTTACGGAGTGTAACAAGATTATTCGTTCTTCGCGGAGGGCCGTCGTCAGTAGCAATGGAGCCAAAGGATATAGGAGAATACCTCTCTGAGAACGTAAGTGCCTGTATACATGAAGCCTAGGGGCATTAGGTAACGTTATATGTGTTCTACAGTACAGACGCAATGCGTACAGCAACGTGAGTGCCGGACGCCGGTGAGGAGGGGCAGTTGCTGGCCACCTGGGACTGCACTCCTCGTTGCAACTCCTGCTCATACCCAAGCCGCCTTTCGGTGGCCGCACAACCTCAGGGATCAACTAAACACCCATGTAGGCCTCAGCGTTCATCGTGCAGGCGAGAGTCTACGCCAGAGTAAGACCCCAAGAATAAGAAGAATTCAACCCTTAGCAAGTTGCTCCTGTCTTGCCCTATCATATTAGGTGGTAGTGAAACAGTTTTGTCATTTTGGAAAGGCACGCAGTAGCCGATGCGCATCAAAAGTTACTACTGCACCTGGTCTCGTGACGGTATTCAAGTCCACATTCGATGAAGTGACTTAGCGCCGGCACAACCGAGTGCCAGCTATGTACTCGAACCCGCCTTGCCCCCTAACGGCAATTATCGGAGTTGACCCTCCACTTCACATGAACACGCTAGCAATGCAAACTCAACACCCAATTGCTAGACCGAATATCTGCCCGCAACCTCAACAACCCCAACCGTGCTGCAGCTGTTGCCGTTGGTCTTTCGGCAGCAGCACCAGAAGCACTAGTGTGTCTACTAATGCTTTAGTGGACTCAGCGAAGAGAGGAGCAACAAGGGACGCATTTGCTCCGTATAGGCTCTGCATAGTGGTTTGTGCAAAGCAAGATGATGCCCGCCTCCAGCTGCCACTAAAATGCTCCGCCGCTATACTCCTTCAGAAGACCCTCAACAGGCTGCGTATCACATCATCGGGACCGCGGCTGTCGCCATTACAGCTCATGTGAGTAGCATTTGCCGGGTCTCTTCGTGTATCACGGCATCAAGTGGTCTAGGATCAGAAGTATACGACGAAACAAACCCAAATGCTGACCTATCCCACTTGTATAGTTCACCATCTTTCGGGTCCTAACATATGTGCTACAACTCAAACCTCTAGCAAAGATAGTGGTCGGTCGTAGGTGCTAGGACTACCATAAGCAAA